AACGTGATTTGAGATTGGAGCCTCTGGATGAGTCGCGCTAGGCATAAGGAGGGTACGCCAGACACGATATCAGATAGTGGTTGTGTATGGTATTTTATTGATATGGCACCGGGTGCGTCGGGCATGGAAGGCCTGGAAGTCTCTGACTTCGTGAGGTTGGATGTAATGTGAATTGTGTCGGGCGTGAGAGAGCCCTATAGGACTCTCGGGTTGGGTTTAGGCCGGGCATGAGTATACTTGGTGTTATAATTGAATATGATGCTTTAACATGTTTTGATGTTGATGTTGGATCATGTATGTATGGTATATGATGTGTGGTGATGTATGGTTCATATGTATGCTTAGAAACGTATGTATGAATGTTTTAAAACATAATTGGATATGTATGTATGTTCCTATTTGGATGATATTGATCATGATGGTGGATTGACCATGTATGATGCATTGTTTGCATGCGGCGCCTTATGGCATGTGTCTAGCCTAGGACTGAGGAGAGGAAAAAATATTTTCGAATTAGAAGAGTTCACATAGAGTCTCTTGAGAGTGGTGCTTGGATGCCACTAGATTAGATGAATCTCCTCTAAGTCCTTAGCTAGTGTTGGAACGGGGTATGGGATCGAGGGTTATTCCCTTAACCAAGTACTGGGGAAGGTGTGTGATTTCTTGCAAATTGTTAGTGGGCGAACTCCACAAGTGACTTGGTAATACATGTCAAGATCGTGGTAAGCCTGTACCCAGTTGTGTTATACCTTATTGTGGAACCGAACTTCCAATTGTGTAAGTGACACCATTCAAGTAGACACCTAGGAGATTTAATATCCCAGATTGTTGTTAGTAGGGCGTTTTGGGCGTAAAAGCGGTCGAGGTGATTTCGATAGGATGAGATGTCACTTATACTACTCTGTTGTTAGAGAGATCTCCTAGGTAAATGTGTGACAATGCATTAGATGATTGATATGTATTGATATCTTTCATGTCATGAGTTGCATTTATTGCGTGATTGTTGTATGATAAAGTGCATTGTTTGACTCTATAAAAATGATTGATGATTTTGATGATGGTGCAACATAGATGCTTATTATTATGCTTGTATGGTTATTTATTGAACTCTAGCTTACCTTTCTGTTTCCATGTAGATGGACTCCGATAATCATATTGTATATGGGAGCAAATCAGGGTTAGGTTGGAGCAGGTTGCTGCTGGATGCTGGAGTTTTGTCCTATTGTCAGGGTTACCTTTTTGGTTAACTGGTAAGATGTGCTTGATCGACACTAGGAGAATATTACTATTATTTAGATGAATGTATATACATAGTACTTTATTTTGCATAGAGTTTTGTAGTTTTATTATAAATTTTATATACATGTTTATATTGTTATCCAGTTTAGTAGCTTCTCTTAGTTAACTAGCGTAATTAGTGCGATTCCACATGGTGTAGGGACCACAATAGATCGTTACATATATATAGAGAGAGAGAGACAGATAGGTAATATTTAAAAGTTTAAGCGATTAACAATATTTTTTTTAAAAATATATAATGTTATAACTTTGAAGAGTAAATTTGATAATTAAAAATCTTTAGAAGTTGAAAATGTGATAATATGTTAAATTTAGAAAATTGTCATAATTTTATTTTTTTTGGATACAACCTTAATTTGACACAATGAGTACACTATATAAGAAAAGCTTAGACTCCATGAACCCTAACACTCTACATACAAATGCTTTTAAGCTTAGATTCCATGAACCCTACTCAACGTTCAAATGCTTTTATCTCATGACTTCTTATGTGACTCTAATAGCATGTTTGGTTCGGTGTGGTACTGACGTGGTTTTTCATGTCAAATTGAAAACAAGTAGTTTAAACTTTTATGTTTTAGAGAAAATTGACACAAAAATATACTATAAAGCGGATCACCAGCGCTAAAACAAACACACACTAAACCATTCTAATGGATATCTTGCTCTAAGTATGTAACCTTTAATTCATTCACAAATACTTTATCATTAAATGTTGATTTTGGTATTTGAGTTTATACTTATTATACTATAAAAAAAATTAACAAATTAAAAAACCGCTATCACATTAACATACATTTTACTAGAGAATATTTTTGTACTTAGGTCATTTTTAAGGATATATCTTAAATATCTTAATAAGTAATTCATAAAAAAATTATATCTTGTGAATAAAAAATATTTTCATGTCATTGAGAAACCAGAAATAGAAGTAACTTATCAAAGACTCACTTAGGTGTAAATAATATATATAAAGAGAGAAGGGAATTGTTTACTTCGTGAGTAATTCTATCTAAACTTACTTCATTTGATAACTCATGTTCTACATCAAATTTTAATAATCTAACCATTGAACTTAAAGTTCTTAATGTATAAATCAAATCTGTAAATTTTTTAAAATTTTGAAAATCATTTGATATTTCATTTTATTAATTCAAATTAACAGATAATCATAAAATTATTTTATATGTTGATTTAAATTAATGAAACAAAGTATCAAATAATTTTTAAAAATTTAAAAACTTGATATATGCATTAAAAACTTTAAATTCAACGATTGAATTATTGAAATTTGATGTAGCAGATAATCATAAAATTATTTTTGTGGTAATATACAGTTTGTCATGTTTAAATATTTTGATCACTCAGATTAGAGTGAAATATTGTTGGATTTTATAGAGTTTCATGTAGTTGAACTTTTCTGTTTCTAATTTCTTCATCCGTCCTGCTTACAAGTTTACGATTATAAACCCTAATAAGTTATTGAATTTGGAATTTAACAAAATGATTGGTTATTCCAAAAAATATTGAGAAATGATGCATCAATCAAATATAGACATTTTTGTTATGTTTAATGAATCAAATAACTATTCCAGTAGAAGTGGGGAAGAACTTAGTGATAATGAAAGTGGTAAAAAAAATTAGGCAAAACACCTAATTTAATCCCTTATAATAATTAATAGTTTCAATTTCGTCCCTCTATAATTTTTTGTTTCAATTTGGTCCCCAATAATTTAAAAAATGTCAATGTGAGACTTTCTGTCCAAATTTCACAAACGGTGTTAAATGTGATGACATGGATGCCACGTAGATGCATAGGTGGCATGCCTCCTCATCCCCTTCTTTAATGATCTGGAACGGCCCATTCTGAAACCAGAACGGCCTGTTCTAAATCCAATGATTGTTCTTGATTTCTTAGTTCTCTCCATATTGAAATTTTGACCGAGGCAAACTGTGAACTAGGATTGATTTTCTTTATACTTTTTAATATAGAGTATCGTCTCAATTTGAAGGAATTCAATTATATCTTTGGATTTCAAACCATAGGGGAAAAAAAACCAAGATCATTTAATTCATACATGACAATGGGAGGCTGGTAAATGCAATTCATCTACATTTCATCACTCTGCCATTAGAATTATGCATAAGTTTATTGCATTTACTGTTCTAGGTCGTAGCGGCTCACACAGTTAAGTATGCCTAACTAATTTATTATTTATATGATTTGTTTTCAATCTTTGAACCACATTGTTGCATTTTGTTGAAATGTAACACTTAAATTTAAACATCAGTCAATGTTCCTTTAATGTAACACTAAATTTAAGTTTAAATATAAATCCTGGTTAGCGTTATGGAACGGCCCGTTCTGAAACCAGAACGACCCGTTTTAAAACCAGAACGACTCGTTCTGATGCACTCGTTGTGTGTTACATTTGCATCTGGAACGACCCGTTTCAAATACAAAATTAACACACAATGAGTGGGTTCAGAACGGCCCGTTCCAGGTGCATTAAACAGGAGTATGGGACCTTGCCACTTGTGTATCTACGTTAGGCATGGCAAGGTTTAAAAAATATGAACAATTTCTTTTAAATAAATATGAACAATTTTAAAAAAAAATAAAAGAAAAGTAAAATAATATAAATTTTTACATATAAATATTTCTAATTTTGGTTTATATATATATAAATTTTTTAATTATATTATTAAGCGGTACGGGGGCGGGGGCGAGGGTGGGTATGGGGCGGAGGCGGGGTGGGTATTAACATCCCTGTCCCCGCCCCCGCCCCCGATTTTATCAATCGGGGAAAACCCGAACCCGATAAACACGGGTTTTCCCCATCCAAATCGGGGCGGGTTCGGCGCGGGTACCCACAAGGACGAGGTAGATTGTCATGCCTAATCTATGTGGCATCCACGTCATCTACATTTAACACCGTTTGTGAAATTTAAACGGAAAGTCCCACATTGATTTTTTAAATTATTAGGGACCAAATTGAAACAAAAAAATTATAAAAGGACGAAATTAAAACTATTAATTATTATATTAGATCAAATTAGGTATTTTTCCAAAAAGTTAATTATTTAAATTTTACTTCGATTATTTTTAAATTAAATTAAAAATTACCTTAAATTATCACGTGTTTAAATTTACTTAGTTTGTAATTATTACATGGATCAAATTAAGTGTTTGGTTTAAAAGAAAATATTTCCATATTATTTATTATATTAAAACTAATATATATTAATTTGAATTTTACTTTTTAATATGCTGTCTTATATTAAAGTTAATCTATATTGATTGAAAATAATTTTATATCGATTGAAAGTGTAAACATCATTGAATACATTACTTTTAAGTTTTAATAAATACATTAAAAAAAATTAAGTGGATTACTTTTGATGTATTGTTGGTATAATCACTATAATTGATGTAGTGATAGAAAACTAAAATTATACACAGATAATTTGAATTTTAAAAAATCGTGGTTATAATTCTTTTCTGATAAAAAAGAAAAAGAAAAAGAAAGAAAAAAGTGAAAGAGCGTGTAGTAGCTAGCTTTTGCCTTGTAACTTGTGGGAAGTAATCGGGAACGAAAAGCGAACCCGTGAATAATTGGTATGGTGATGAGAATCAGAAGAATTCAGAAAAGTAGGGACCCCATCCCAACAAAATGCGAAGCACTGGCAGAATGACATCTTTACTTCCCGTGTCCCTCTGTCTTAGTCCTATTTGGCTATTTCCATTTTTAACATAAACTCCACTTACCGTAATCATGTACACAATTTCTTCCTTCTCATTAACTTGTTCACTCGCACCCAACATATATACATGATACTAGTACCTCTAGGAGCATTAGATAATAAGAGCATCATGGGTAGGCTATGGTGCTCTTCTTTCATGATCATACTATTACTATTACTCCAACAACTGAGATTGTGTGTTAGTTGGAGTGAGGAAACCCCAACACCCCCATTGCCAATTCTCCCTCTCCCATCATATTCCCAGTTGAAATGGCAACAAAGGGAGATCATAATGTTCCTCCATTTTGGTGTCAACACATTCACTGACAACGAATGGGGCACTGGCCAAGAAAGCCCAGCAATCTTCAATCCCACAGGGCTCAACACAACCCAGTGGGCCACTGTGGCAGCAGATGCAGGAATTTCCTTGATGATATTAACTGCAAAACACCATGATGGCTTCTGCCTCTGGCCTTCTAAGTACACTCACCATTCTGTCATTAGCAGCCCCTGGCAAGGTGGCAAGGGTGATGTTCTTAAAGACTTTGTCAATGCAGCCACTGCACAGGGAATTGATGTTGGGATCTACCTTTCACCTTGGGATAGACATGACCCTAGATATGGTAATGATTTGCTCTACAACCAATACTACTTGGCTCAACTGCAAGAGTTGCTCCACAAGTCAGTTCCCTTTCTTATTATTGTGTTTTCTAATTTCTTTTTTTACTTTAAAAGTTTACATTCCTAAGGAAAGAAAACACCACTAATTTCGACCAGATTTATGATGGAATTCAGTATTCAAGTATCACTTGCTAGGAAAAATTTGAGAATCAAACATAAATAGCATTTAATTAGTATGAAGGAATTTGTAATTGATTTGGTGATTACTTTGTTTTATGCATTTTATAACCTTATTATGTTTTGTCTTTTAGGTATCAAAATGTAAGAGAAATTTGGTTCGATGGAGCAAAGGGTGCCAATGCAAAAAACATGTCGTATTACTTTTCAGATTGGTTTTCCATGGTGAAGGCGTTGCAGAGTTCCATCAACATCTTCTCTGACGCCGGTCCTGATGTTAGGTGGGTGGGAGATGAATCAGGCTCTGCAGGGGACACATGTTGGTCTACCGTTAACCGAACCTCTCTATCAATTGGAGCTTCAAACATCACTCAGTAAGTTATGCTTCTAAGCAAAGCACCAGGAAAAAAACAAAGGTGTCACTTTTTCATTTTGTTAGTTGCGCTGAACTCTATAGTGATCTGGAATGATAAGGTACGAAAGGTTTTAGCTTTTCTTTATGAGAAAATGCGCATGCTTTTTCACCCACAAGAAAAAGTGGAGAAAATGCTTTCCTTTTTGAGCCGTATTCAATTTTTATCCTATCTCAATCAACAGACCAAAGCGAAAATTTTGTGGGTTACCAATCTTGGTTGTCATACTGCTGAAACATTATCTTATTTTGGTAAAAATAAATAGAAAGTTATTTGTTCTTAGTGACATTTATTTTTGCATCAAAACCATAATGATGAAGATATTATATTGGCCACCTAGAATTTTTTCACATGCTTAAGAGTTAGTTGGTGGTTTGATTTAACCATGTTGGAGACTTATGCAATGCAGGTATCTGAACACTGGCGATCCAAAAGGAACAGATTGGCTACCAGCGGAATGTGATGTCTCAATTCGAGATGGATGGTTTTGGCATAAGTCACAAACACCAAAAAAGCTAAGCGAGTTACTTGATATTTATTACAATTCAGTTGGAAGAAATTGTGTGTTACTTCTCAATGTTCCTCCTAATACAACTGGCCTTATACCTCATTCTGATGCTCAAAGATTGAAAGAATTTAAAAGTGCAATTGACACAATTTTTCATGAGAATCTTGCTGAAGATTGTTTTATTAAAGTTAGTAGCCAAAGAGGGGGTTTCGGAGCAGAAAACATGCTAGACAGTGACCACATGTGGTCATATTGGGCCCCAAGCGATAATGATGGCGGAAAGGACCATTGGGTTGAAATTTGGGCCAAGGACGAGGGCTTGAGATTCAATGTGATTAGAATACAAGAGGCCATTGGACTTGGTCAAAGGATCAAACGGCATGAAATCTATGTGGATGGTAAATTGATGATCAAAGGGACAACAGTGGGTTACAAGAGGCTTCACAGGGCTGATGGGGGTGAGGTGCATGGTCGTGTTGTGAGGATCAGAATCATAAAGGCAAGAGGAGTGCCTCTTCTTTCTTCCATTGGCTTGCATTTTGATCCTTTCTGGCACTCCAAGTTTACTGTAAACTGAAGATCTATATTTGGAAGAATCTGCATAGAGGTTGTCTTTTGAAGAATATTCAAATATTATTCTATCAATAAAGAACAAAAATAAATAAATTCCTTACTTTTGATTTCTACATCCAATATTTTATCTCAACAAAGATTAGAAACTACATAAAAATTAGAAACTTTAAATGCACAATGTGAATGAGTTGTTTTCCATCACATACGTAAAACGTGAACGCATAAACTACGATTTTTCATTTTGAACAGTGAACACATGGAGACACGCTCATCAAGAGTTTGACTCGAGAGTTTCTATATGAACTTCGCACAAAAATAATTTAATATTAGTTTGACAGTGCTAAAATGCATAAAATAGTGTGTTTATGGACTCCTGATCCGCGTGTGAATTTTTTCTTTCAGTGATGTTAGTTCCTTAAACTCTGGCACCCATACACTCATACACAAGATAACACACACCCACACATATTGTGGAGGGTTTGGATTTATATCATAGTTAATTTTTTATTTTTTGTGGTGAAAAAAAAAACTAAATATTTATTTATATTTTTACGATATTATTATAATTTAATAAATTAAATTTTCAGTGTTATCCAAATACACCGATAAATATACAGAAATGGAAAAAATCTAGCACTAGTTTTTTTTATGTTACAATTGCACCGTTTATTTATTTACTTCTTTAATATCAAGTTAATTATTTTCCTACATTTTCACTATTTATATATTTAATGATTTCATTATTAAAAAAAGGATTAAAATATGTGTTAGTTTTTAAAATTATCACTATATTTTTTTTTTATTTTCATTTTTTATGTCCTACTTATAGTTGAAATTCGTGAATAACTTTTTTCTGAAAAAATAAGTGGTTTCTATCAAACTCAAAATTTGAAACTTATAATTATTTTTTAATAATTTGAAGTTTATAATTATCGATAAGCTTGCTTTGGAAACACCTGAGCTAGATGATGAACAGGCAACCGATGCTTATCAGAAGTATTTGGAACAATCCCTTAGTGCAAAATGTATCATTTTGGCCTCGATGAGTTTAGAACTTCAGAGGCAACATGAGGATATGGATCCTCAAGAAATTATCAAACATCTTAAGAAGATGTATGGTGGTCAGAGTAGGATTACAAGATACCAGTTATCTAAGACTTTGTTTAGGTCCTCAATGCCTGCAAGTGCTCAAGTTGGACCACATGTCCTTAAGATGAATGATTTGATATAACAACTTGAGAAGTTAGAATGCGAACTTGGGAAAGAACTTTCACAAGACCTGATTTTGCAGTCTCTCCCTGATACATTTTCACAATTCATTGTAAACTTCAACATGAATAAAATGAATTGTGATTTACATGAGATGTTAAATTTGTTGATTGATTATGAGAATCAAACTACTTTTGAAAAGAAAAAGGTAGTTGGTAAGAACTCCAAGAAGAAGAGCAAGAGAAAGTATGCACCAAAAAGGAAGCCACTTGGACCTACGGGTGGTGTGGCCAAACCCTTGCACAATAAGGTCAAGAATGGCCAAAGTGATGCTGAGTGTTTCTTCTGTAAGGAGAAAGGACATTGTAAGAGAAATTTTAAGAAATATCTTGAGTTTGTGAAAAACAAAAAACAAGGTGAGCCATTAATGAAAAATGTTTTTATGATATCTTTAACAATTACTGATTCCTCAATATGGGTATTAGATACGGGCAGTAGCCTTAACATTTGAAATTTGTTGCAAGGCAATGCAGATAAGTAGATGGTTGAAGAAAAGAGAAATAAATCTTCAAGTAGGGAATGAAGCAAATGTTGCTAATTTAGCTTTAGGATTTGTTTCTTTAAAAATGTCCACTGGTAAAGTACTAGTGCTAGAAGATTCTTATTATGTTCCGAAATTTGTTTTAAACATTGTTTCAATTTCTATGTTGGACAAACAAAGTTTTTGTATTATTTTTAATAATAACATTTGCTCAATTTATTGTGATAATGATTTGTTTATGAATGTTTATCTCCAACACGACATATATGTCTTACCTGATGTAAATCATAATTCAGTTTTACATGTTTCTTCTAGTTTTAAAAGAAAAGAAGATAATCAAATAAATAAAACATATCTTTGACATTGTAGGCTTGGTCACATTGGTGAGAAAAGAATCAATAAGTTACACAAGGAAGATTACCTTGATAATTATGATTATGAATCATATACAACTTGTGAGACTTGTCTCAAAGGAAAAATGACTAAATCTCCTTTTACTGGAACAGGAGAAAGAGCATATGAATTATTAAGATTAGTTCACATAGATGTTTATGGACTAATGAAAATTCAAGCCAAAGGAGGATATTCTTATTTCATAACTTTCACTAATGATACTTCAAGATATGGTTTTTTATACCTGATGAAACAAAAGTCATAATCATTTGAAATGTTCAAAAGATTTCATAGTGAAGTTGAAAAACAAATTGGAAAGAGTATTAAGATGCTTAGATCCGACAGAGGTAGAGAATACCTTTCTAGTGATTTCATTGATTATCTAAGAGAGAATGGAATTCTCTCATAGTGGACAACCCCAGGAACACCACGACACAATGGTGTTTCTAAAAGATGGAATCGAACCTTATTGGATATGGTAAGATCTATGATGGGGTTCACAAATCTTCTAGAGAACTCATGGGGATATGCTTTAGAAGCTGCAGCCTATTTACTAAACAAAGTTCCTACAAAATCAATCTCTACAAGTCCATATGAGATATGGAAAGGGCGAAAACCAAATCTCAAACACATTAGGATATGGGGATGTTATGCTTATGTTAAGAGATTACTAACCGATAAACTCGAGGTAAGGTCAGATAAGTGTAGATTCATTGGGTATCCTAAAGAAACAATGGGATATTATTTTTACCAACCTTCCGAACAGAAAGTGTTTGTGGCAATAGGGGCTACCTTTTTAGAAAGGGAATTCCTTGCAGGAGGAAGTCATGGTAAAGAAATTGAGCTTGAAGAAAATTCACCAATGAAACAACTCAGAACCATAACCTGGAAACAGAGAGACCTTTCTTTGATGTCCTAAAGTTAACACAAAGGCCATCACCTCCAACAATTATTATTCAAGAACCAATTATAGTTCAAGAATAGATCAATGAACCAATCCTAGAACAAACTCAGTAACTTCTTAGAAGATCTAGCCGAACACATCGTGTACCATAAAGATTAAACTTGTTGGTGCAAGACAACACTTCTGATGAGGATTATCATAATGATGATGATCCTAGGAGTTATGAAAAGGCTATGCGAAGCTTGGATTCTAAAAGGTGGCAAGAAGCTATGGAATCTGAAATAGAATTAATGAAGGTCAACAAAGTATGGACTTTAGTTGAAGCTTCAAAGGATATAAAATCAATTGGTTGTAAATGGGTTTACAAGAAAAAGATTGGAGCAGATGGGAAGGTTGAGACCTACAAAGCTCGTCTTGTTGCTAAAGGGTATCGTCAAAGAGAAGGTATAGATTATGATGAAACCTTTTCTCTCGTAGCAATGCTTAAATCAATTCAAATTCTTCTTACTATAGCAACATACTATGATTATGAAATATGGCACATGGATGTAAAAATAACTTTCCTTAATGGTGAGTTAAAAGAGGATGTGTACATGACACAACCTGAAAGGTTCACATCCTTGTCTAATCATAATAAGATTTGCAAGTTGCAATGAGCCATTTACGGGTTAAAACAAGCTTCTAGAAGTTGGAACATTCACTTTAACAAAAAAATTGAAAAGTTCAATTTTGTTAGATGTGAGGAAGAGCCTTGTGTTTACAAAAGGGTTAGTGGGAGCATAATCATCTTCTTGGTATTATATGGGGATGACATATTACTCATTGGAAATGATGTACCAGCAATGCAAACTACAAAGATTCGGCTATCAGAACAATTCTCCATGAAAGATTTAGGAGAAGCAACCTACATTCTAGGAATAAAGATTTATAGAGATAGATCTAAAAGGTTGCTTGGGCTCTCCCAATCTATGTACATTAATACCATCTTAAAATGTATAACATGGAAAACTCCAAAAAGGACTATTTGCCAATAAGAACTGGAGTTACTCATAGTAAGGAGGATTGTCCTAAAACTCATGAAGAAAGAGAACACATGACTAGAATACCATATGCTAGCGCAGTGGGAGCTATCACGTATACCATGATTTGTACACGTCCTAATGTTGCCTATGCACTGAGTCTAGCTAGTCGATATCAAGCAAATCTTGGTGAGGAACATTGGAAAGTAGTTAAGACCATCCTTAAGTACTTGAGAAGAACTAAAGACCAATTCCTTATTTATGGAGATTCTGAATTAAAGTTAAAGGGTTATACTAATGCAAGTTTTGAATCAGATAAAGATGATAACAAATCTATTTCAAGATGTGTTTTCACTTTAAATTGCGGTGCAGTAAGTTGGAAAAGTTCCAAACAAGCTACAGTGGTAGATTCAACAACTGAAGTAGAATACATAGCAGCAAGCGAGGCTGCTAAAGAAGCAATTTGGATGAAAAAGTTTTATCTGAACTTGGTGTAGTCCCTTCAGTAGAGGAACCAATTCTATTATTGTGTGACAATAATGGAGCTATTGCTCAAGCTAAGGCGCCAAGATCACACCAAAGGTCCAAACATATTTTACGGAGATATCACTTGATCAGAGAAATCATTGAACGTCATGACATTAAGATCGAAAAAGTAGATGGAAAGGAGAATGCAGCAGACCTTTTTACCAAAGCACTTAGTATAAAAGAGTTTGACAAACACAAATGGGAAGTGGGAATGAAATACATGACTGATTGGCTCTAGTGCAAGTGGGAGATTGTTGGAGAATAATTAATTAAATATGCTCAAGATCCAATTCATCATGTAATCATATCCAAATTGATAAAGTGTTACTATTTTTATTTTGTTAAATAGATAAAGTCCTTAATTAAAATTATACTTGTTTTCATAATAAAGATTATGATAATGAGAAGCAAAAGCCTGTTATTATTTTAATCTAAATTGTTCTTGATAATAGAATTATTGTATACGGGACATCAATAAATATAGATAGATTAATATATATGTGAATGTCTTTATAAGATAAAGATTAATAAATCTCATTTATTAATTACATATATTGATGATGCATATGTGAGTATGGTCATTTGAACCGACTCAATTGAGAATTTCTAATAGTTTACATTACCTTAATTCGTCAGTAGGAATTTCTCAAGAAGAAACTAAATGTTTTTCTTTGACCTCAGAATATCATATAGTTATTAACAAGTAATTTATTATATTTTAATTTCGGACACCTAATGCCTTAGGGTACTAGTTGAATGAATATTGGATATGATCAAATGCTTGTAGAATTAATGATAAATCAAAAAGGAATCCATCAACTCTTGATAATGAGTTTGAGCTCTATTAATGAAATTAATAATATCTAGGCCAGAAAAACTGATTGAAAAGTCAATCGTGATAGGTTAACTTAATGGAGTTTGACGATAATATCATACTCTAGAGTTAATTAAGAGTTGTAATGATTGAAGAAAAATATTATATGTTTTTCTAAGTTCTTGAAAGTAAAATATTACTTCATACAATCTAGACGTTAAAAAGTATTGCTAGATACCTACTTTGATTAATTTATTATCAGCATAGTATTGAACATCAAGATCAAACACAAATGAGTGTTCTAATATCTGTTAAAGAAATTATTTTAATATTTGATGATTAAATAAGAGTATTTAATTTGATGAAATTAAATAATAAAGAAGATTTGTTTCGTAAAGTAGAGTATAAGACATTTATCATGAAGAGAGAAAAGGTTTTGCTTCTTGTATTTCACGCTGCCTTGCGTTACTGTGGCAAACCCCTTAAGTAAATGAAGGTGGTGAGAATTCCAATTGCCATCACTGCTGCACAAAACAATTAATGATGCAAGCAACCAACTCCCTCCAACCTGCTTACCATTTACTGCTGGTAAGAAAAACATATGCACATCATAAATGTATCAATTCTTCACCCTGCTAGTACTAGCTTATTCATCTGCACAAAAAATGTAGTATACTATTTTAATGTCAAAATATATTTTGTATACGTGTTCTGATTTAATCTTATAAATATAACAATTTAAATGTATTAAATTATCATAATTTACATGTTTTAAAGTTAGAGAATTTAAATCCATATATATTATTGAAATTAATTTGGATTACTCAACTAGTACATGTAAAGATATAATTCTGAAAAATTATAAGCAGTAGAATCAAAATTTGAGCGAATAAGAAGTAAGAAATGGCTGAGTCATTGTTATTCATTTAATATTGGAATCATAACAGAAACAGTGATTCTTAATCCAGGGCTAATATTGGGTATCGATGGATGCAATCTGCCCATGGTCCCTTCTCGTGCTCTCCAACTATAGGCCTAATACACTGCAAAATAATACTGTCACATTTGAGTCCTGTTCCCATTCCAAGTTGCCAAATCTTGTCTCCCTTGTGCACTTTTTCCTTGGTTTCCAAGTAAGCTAGTTCATACCACAATGAGGAAGAAGACTGGTTTCCAAACCTGTGCAGTGTCATCAAAGCAGGTTCAATGTCTCTCTCCGAAAGCCCCAACCCTTTCCCCAATTCTATTATCAATGGCCTTCCCGAACAAGGGAAGCAGAAGTGTTGTATCACTACCTTAAAATTTGGCACGTAAATTCCCTCAGACTTGTTGAACCTCTTCTTGATCATAGACACCGCATACCGAAACTTCTCCGAAAGAGGCAAGATTTGAGACCCCAAAATGGAGACGTTTGAACGGATAGTTTCACGAACTTCTTGAACTGATTCCCTGTTTATTGTCACCCCAAGATTTCCTTCAGAATCTTCTTCCCTTATGGCAGATAAATAAGCCTTGTCATCAAAGGCCCTCTGGGTTCGAAGTGTCCTAACCACCCTGTACTTGGCACTTTTCTTTGCTTCTTTCTTGTTTGAGAGCAAAATTGCTGCACTTCCCATCCGAAAGCTGCAGTTTATCAGCAACTTGGACTTTTCATTGCCTGAATACCAACCTGTAGACAAAATCTCTGTGCTGAGAACAACGGCATTAGAGTTCTTGTGAACTCTGAGAAGATTCTGAGCTAACTCGATGCAAATGGCACTTGCACTGCACCCCATGCCAGAAATATTATAGCTCTTAACGTCACTTCTCATGGAGTATTTGTTAACGACAATGGAGGATAAAGAAGGTGAGGGGCAAAAGCCACTGCAGTTTACAATGAGTATGTCTATGTGAAGGGGCGAAATGTTGGTTTTTGCGAGAAGATCATTCATGACGGGATAAAGAACCATTTGCACCTCTTTGATGGATTCTGTATGGTGAGTCTCTGGAGGAATGTAGTGCAAGGACGGGGGGAGATATGTCTCTTCACTTTGTCCTGAGTTATGGAGGACTTTGGCCATGAAAGCTATGCTCTCACTGTCAAAGAAACCGAGCATGGAAGCGTTTTCAAGAAACGTAGCAAAAGGCACCCTGCAATGGCTTGGTGGTTTAAGACATGAGAAATCCACAAGGTAAACGGGAGAGGGCTTTGAGAGGAAGTGTTTGACCAGGAAAAAAAGAAGGAGGAGGAAACACATTGCCAAAAAATGGAACATGGGTTCCCAGGGCCACAGTGTTGAAAGGAGGTGGTTTGTCAAGAGGGTCATATGCTTCCAAATGGCTTCCATTATGTTATGATTTCAAAATGGTGCTGATGCGTATGCCCAAGAAGTAGAGCTATAAATACTAAATAGATGCTGTAAATACAGGCACATAGGATTACAGCATCTGCCAATGTTTGTGTGGCCAATTGTTAGGTGCAGCAGCTCACAGCTGAGCTCCATCACCACAGTCCACAGTTATTCATCATGTACAAACCACCAATATTTATTTGCTTTTTTCTTCTTATTTCATCTCATCAATGCTTGTGACTCATCATGTTAATCATACCGTGTTGTCATTCCCCATACTCAAACTATAATTTTCCTGCATTAAGTAAAAGACCAACCTAGCCTTTTCTTTCTATTACTATTACAATTACAATTTTACTAACTGGAGTATAATATATATATATATATATATATATAAAATATATTATGATGCCCCGACAGACATGTGTATCGTGTATCGGATACGACACATATCCGATACGGCGATACGATTATTTTAAAATATATAGGATACGATACTTGTAAGATACGTGTCGTCATACATATCAATGTTCATACAATATAATAATTGTGTACTTGTAATTTTGATCAAAATTTATAAACATTAAATATATAATTGCTATTTTGCAAATCCAAATTAAAAACATACGTATTGTACATTACTAAAAATAATTATAAACCATTTCATCATAAATTAACTTTTATTATTTACAAATAGAAATAATATTACCAAATTTCATTCATTTCTTAAAATTATCTATGTAGAAGACAATTTTCATTTACAGTTTATCAAGGACCAATATTTCTATGTTTCTATATTAAAAATGTTTATATATCTTATTTAGTTGTAATGGATATTTCATAATTTTTCAAAAATTTGAATACTTTATCAATACGTATCACCAATAAGTATCGGTGAAGTATCTGAGAGTATCGAGATTATATAAAATTTTCATAATATTTTCAAAAGTTAGGATACTTCATTGACA